CCGGGAGCCCGCCGCCTGCGGGGCGCTCACCGCCTCGACCCTGGTGGCCCCGCGGCAGGCAGGCGCCCACAGTTCCATGACTGGTTCGGAGCGCGATGAGCCGCCCGTCCTCCACCGGCCCCAGCGCTAACAAACCCTGCAGCAAGCAGCCGCCGCCACAGCCCCAGCACGCTCAGTCCCCCGCTGCGCCCCCGGCCGCCGCCACCATCTCGGCTGCGGGCCCCGGCTCGTCCGCGGTGCCCGCCGCGGCGGCGGTGATCTCGGGCTCCGGTGGCGGGGGCGGGGCTGGCCCGGTGTCCCCGCAGCACCACGAGCTGACCTCGCTCTTCGAGTGCCCGGTCTGCTTTGACTATGTCCTGCCCCCGATCCTGCAGTGCCAGGCTGGGCACCTGGTGTGTAACCAATGCCGCCAGAAGTTGAGCTGCTGCCCGACGTGCAGGGGGGCCCTGACGCCCAGCATCAGGAACCTGGCAATGGAGAAGGTGGCCTCGGCAGTCCTGTTTCCCTGCAAGGTAAGCCCCGGTGCCATCTGCGCACCTCCATCTAGCCACTTCCTAGAACTCCTGTGTCTTCCAGCCCACTTACAGACCCTGGGAGGCAGGTGGCGTCTCTCTTACTTAGGGGGGGAAAAAATTGTATGTGTACACTTTGTCCATCCTTCCTCAAACCCACTTGTTCCCTTTGGGAGTAGCGGACGAGTGCCTGAGTACTGACCCCAGATTAATTGGCACTGGCTGGTTGTTAGAACACATCGCCTCTCTCTCCCGGTGCCTGTGTCCTCTGAAGACGTGGACTCTGTAGGTGGTGCTCTGTAGGGCTGGGCCGCACAAGTAAACTTGGATCTGGAAACTATGGGAATTGAAGAGACAGGAAATTGGCAAGCAGAGAGCACCCTTTACCGTCACTCCGCCTGGCAGGATTGGCACTGCATTCTTTCTGCACTCTGTGCCTGCCTTCTGCGCACTCTTGACACGTGGGAGACCTCAGGAGTGCAGCTAAAAAAGGGCGCCTGTGGCTTGTTTTCCTCCAGCAACAAGAAAACCCTTAAAGTCACCCCTTTCCCTTCCCCAACCTTCCTCCACCCACCATTGACACGTGGGAGACCTCAGGAGTGCAGCTAAAAAAGGGCGCCTGTGGCTTGTTTTCCTCCAGCAACAAGAAAACCCTTAAAGTCACCCATTTC